GCCTCCTACTACTACTACTACTACTACTACTACTACTACTCCTACTGCTACTACCACTACCACCACTACTACTACTACTACTACTACTACTACTACTTCTTCTACCACCACGACCACGACCACTACGACTACTGCAACTACGACTACCATTGCAACTGCTACGACGACGACGACTACTACTACAAGTACTAGTGCTACTACCATTACTACAGCTACTGCTACTGAAACTGCCACTACTACTTTGATTAGAGGCCGCTGAATATCTGTGCAATGAGACACTGCACGAGCAGTTGTGTAGTTGTGTTCCTCGCAGCATCGTTTGGACATTGCGAATGCCGGTGAAAGCCGGTAAGCAGTGGCAGAGCGCAAGATTTCTGAGCGCTCCCGTAGTAGGATTCAGCTGAATCCAAGAGCTGCCTCTCCCTATACTTTAAAACCTTCAGCTGTAACCCAGAACCCCCAAAAAGACTCATGCCAACAATGAGTCAACAAGCCTGCTCGCTGTCTTTTCGGACATGTTTTCCCGCGGCGACAACAGGCAAAGCAGCGTAGACACTTATTCACTGGAAGGCCGGGTTAACGCGAGCAAGAATCGACAGTGAGAAAGCAAGTAGTATCTTTGTAATCATTGGGGGGTCGCCACGTAACAATGTCAACCTGCGCCTTTCAGTTCATCTTCGGTATCGCTGAAGAAGTGTGGTTCCGAAACCCTAACGGAGTTTCGGATCAAGTCACTCGGCAGCGGATGATATCTTTCCAGATCTTCTTTCCATTGCTGTTCCACATTAGCTTAGCTCTGTGCGAAGCTCGCACAGCCCTGTATTTGCTTTTTGCTGGTCCAGCATCGGCCGCAGTGTTCACGGATTTCGCAAAAGGGTGAGCAGAGGAGTCGAAGCATGGAGGCCTCAAGAACCCACGGTCGGTTAATTAGAAATATTATGGGAGGTTCGGGTAGGGGGCCCCCTGTAAACCAGGCGAAATTGCCAGCTTTTTGTACAGGGCAACTCGCACTCGGCATTGTGCACTGCGTCGCATCTCTGTGCAAAGCCGTTTGATTCTCAAACGTAGACTGAACTCAAGTTCGAGGCCTGTGTCTTTCCAGGTTTTTGGAAGCCATGATGGCCGATGATGGCTTTGACACACCGCTGCTCGGCAGACCTGGCCTCCAAAAACCACGGTTCTTCAAGCCTTTATGGTGTACTTTTGAGGTTTGAAAATGGGATCCGGATGCTTCTCGGGGTCGTGAGACTTGCGGAAGCTGGGAGAATTTCAAGCTCGTTCTCGTCGAAAGCGGGGCTCGAAGTTGATGTCTTGTCGGGACGAGTCAGAACGCAGTCCTCTGCATAGGTGCCATCCAGGTATCTGATCAGTTCGCATCGCCAAGGCCAATGAGCCCGCCAATGAGCCCTAAATCCTGCGCTTCCACTATCACTCTGGATTTGCTGGAAGAGCTTCTGGGCAGAACTTCCCACATGTGCGGGAAGTTACACTTCAGTCAGGCCGTCATGAAAAATCGATTCATTCGCATGCTCCGGTTTGCTGCCACGGCAGTAGGCTGGTTCTGAATTGCATTTTATGCACGACTTTACCCCGAAATGTGGCAAGATACGCAGTCTTGCTTGTGATCATCTCAGGATGTGCGACACGGAGCAGATCACGGAATCGTTTGCCTTGCACGGCAAGGCGACCCCCCATGTCCAGTGTTCTGCGGGGGGCAACTCGAGCTGCCTGCTTCGCCCAGGCGAAGCAGCTGCGCCGGGAGAAGCTGCTGCGCTTTTTGAAGAAGCACGGCTTCGCCCAGGATGTGCCTAGGAAGATATGTGAAAGGCTGGTCTTTCTTCTCCCAGAGACAGAAATTTCAAGGTCAACGAGCCTCGGCTGCCCGGATGCACAGCCTGGTTCACGACCAAGAAGGAAGTCGCCTCTCCGGCCCGTTTTACTGGGTTTTCAGATGCGGTCCGAAGGATTGGCTGGGCGTCCCCATGTGGAGCCTAGTATTCGTGAGAACGACCGCCGCCGCCGTAGGTTTCCGTCTGGCCCGCCGTGGACAAGAGAGCACAAGACAGCTGAAATCTACGCATCTGCCTGTCTAAAGCCTGAAGACCTGCCATCTGGCAGGCCCCTCAGCTAGCTACTTCATCACTAACTCTAGGTTGAGATTTCTGCCAAGGCTTCGCTGATTGTAACGAAACAGCGGCACCCCCCCCGTTTCAGAGAGCTGCCCAGACGCTCAGCTGGGAGATTTCCTGTCTCCAGCGTGCTCCACCCTAAACCCTAAACCCTAAACCCTAAACCCTAGGTCTACCCCATTCATGTGGCGGCGCAGCTCGGCGATTGCCAAACCATCCGGGCCTTGCTGGCTGAAGGCTCATCGCCGCGTCGTGTTGTTTTTTGTAGGGTTTAGGGTTTAGGGCTTATAGGGTCTGGGGTTTAGGGATTAGGGCTTATAAACTTATAGGGTTTAGGGCTTACAGGGCTTAGGGCTTATAGGGTTGGATTTGTTTGTTTATCCTAGGTTTTCCAGTATTACCCTTTCTGGGGTTTCCTTATAAAAACTGTTTTAGCAGCACCACGGGCACCCTCATTATGCAGGGGACACTCGGGGAAATCTGGGGAACCTAGTAGGACCTAGAACCCGTCCACTTATTGATCTGCTTGGCTGTCTATGTGTACGAATCTCATGGTCTTGCCTGGACCTGCTTTGGCGAACTGCCAGCAGATGCATACATGCGTAAAGTCTAAAGGAACGGGTCAATGGTTGTCGGCACGAATCAAGCCACTTGTGTACACACGTGCATGTGTACATGTGAAGTTTCCGGCCCTAAAGCCCTAAATCGCGAAAACCCCAACAGCCCCGGACTGTCTGCGAGACCCCAGCTATGCGACACTCCCAGGGGCCTCGGGCACTGGATACCTCGTGAAGCCTTAAAACTCTAGAGCCGGCGGCGCAGCTCATGTGATGGTCTTCCTGGGCCTCGGAAAGGGGAAGACTTGATGTTCGCAGGTCATTCGATATCAGATGCGATGCCGGAGTCGGGCTGAGTCCCTGCCGCTGAGTCCAGGTGCTGATCCAACAAAGAAGACATCCAAAGGACGCACGGCGGCAGACTTTATCAAGGACGCCGGGAGCCGGGTCTAGTTGGGTCTATGGCCGCGACGAAAGATGCCCCAATCTCAACATGGAAGTTCTCGAAACATGCCGGAACTTCAAATGGAGGCAAAGAGGAAGGGGACCTTTGACTTGAAGAAATCAGCCATCAAGTCGGATTTGCCTATCCTGTATGCCAGGAGTGCACGGGACCACGCCGCGAAGAAGCCGCACGCATGCTGCGAGCTTGAGGTGAACTAGTCGGGCTTTTTTCCGGGAGGAGTCCGGACGAGAGGTCTCGGGTGTCCGAAGGTCCTAGGGGTGAAGCTTTAGGGCTGTAGCTGTATAGTGGGTTTTCGGATGAACGCGGCTTCTCTCGTGTCTTTTTTCTCCCTTCTTCGGACCCAGGGCTCAGAACCCAGTCTCCCCCGGAATCCTCCCAGATCAGGGCCATCCAGCTTCAAGGTAGCTTTTGTACCATCCTCTGAGACTGGAAAATCGCCAAGAAGGCGCTACCCGCGACAGCCGACGCGCAGAAAGCGCAGAGTGCCTTTAGACGATTGCAATGGGGTCCTACTGCTTTTTTGTTCTTGTGGAGTTTGTGCTTTCCGTACATCGGATTGTCACAGGGTAACAAGGCGGGTATAAGCTATGCACAATGGGCACGGCTCTCACTTCACTTGAGAATGAAGGATGCAACAAAGGTGCACCCTAAACCCTAAACCCTAAACCCAAGAGGTATCGAAGTGTGGTCCAGGGTAAGTCGGAGCCGCGCGTGTTCATGTTGTGTATTTCCAACCGAATTCACTGAGACAGTCGCTTGCCGATTGGACAGCCTTGACGGCCTTTTTTCTGAAAGGTTTTCAGGCCGGGGGCTGGCCCGGCAATGAGACTTCGCACATCGTGACTTGTTGTAGCTTCACAGCGTGCATCTGCTGCAAGCAAGCCGGGGGCACTAAGTGGTCTACCGTGCCGCTGAGCAGCACTCTGGATGCATGTTGCTGCCAACTAGCACTAGCGAGCCGGCCTATGGGTTTATATATAATACAATATGATATAATATAATATGATATATAGAATATATATATATACATATAATATATATATATATATGTATATAATATAATGTAAATGTTCCTGTACCAGCAGTTTTTTCAGCGATGGTGCTGTCTACGGAAGGGTTCCTCTGGCCTCGACCTCCAGAGCCCCAGTGGCTCGGGAAGTGACAACCCAGAGAACCCGATACCACTTAGTTAAGGAATATACCTTAAATCATAGGGTTCCTTAAAGGGATCTATAAGGGCCTCTATAAGGGTTCCATAAGGGAAGTAAGGCATATACCTTAAATCATAATATTAAGGCCTCCATAGTTCCAGGTATATTCCTTAATTGAGGGGTGTTGGGTTCTCTGGGAAGAAGGTGTGCCTCATCTAAGGAGAGGCCCTTGACTTCCATTCCTGGTAGGTGGCTGACCTACCCCGCATTCCTAGGATTTTGGATGCAAGGTCATGTACATAAGTTACTTGGTACAGAAAGAGAGAGAGCACGGGATTTTTCCACAAGTTCTGCCAAGCGGAACCTGTGAGCGAGTGTCTCGAAGCTTAGGTTTAGTGGGATGCTGCTGCATACTCTCGTGCGAGAAAGCAGACTGCCGACATCTGTGAGCTTTAGCCCCTAAACCCTAAACCCTAAACCCTAGACCCTAAACCCCTAAACCCTAAACCCTAAACCCTAAGACTGAGTTAGTTTCCGGAATGAACGAGACCCGAGTCCTAGAAATGGAGTCTCGGCACCGTTGTGAGGGTATAATAGTGCAAGTTCTCGGAGCGCATGTAAAGCCCTGTTCCTTGCATTGGCAAGCCAGTGTATGAGCTGGATGTTTTATCCTTCTGCACCTTCGATGTTTCTGAGGCTTTCAGTGCCTGAAGCGTGAATCAGCTGAGATGTAGGGTGGAGAACCGGCTTCATTCGGACAGAGCCGGCCTAGAAGATTCCAGCCATCTTAAAGCGTTACGTGCCCTCTTCCAATCATGGCCTTCGTGCCGAACACGCCGTCGCTCCCCGGGTCAACTGACATGTCCCGTGTCTGCAAAGCTCAGGATCTCTGCAGGTACATCTGGGGCTTTCCGAAAATAGGGGACCCTAATATAGTACCCTAAATCGTAGGATCCTGATTATATGGACCCCTAAATATGGTACCCTAGTTTTCGGAAAGTCCCAAAGTACATGTACAATGTAGTTCTGCCGGCCGTCACGACCGCTTCGACCTCTGACCTGTCCCCGGCACTGCAGGGGGCCCCATAGCCTTGCCGACATCGAAGTCCGCGAGTCACGCAGCAACTCCTACGATTCTACAAACTCCACCAGGTGCGCTACTCATGAGCTGCAAAGGCTGGGGGTCTGTTCGTGGTTCTGCGGTCGGTTCAGGCTGGAGGAGGAGCCCTGGATTATGTCCGATTCTGGAAATAAGGCTACGTGCGTTGAGAAGCTCAGTTCGCAGGAGACAAGCCGGAAGGAAGTCCTAGTCTCGACGGATGAAGGTCGTAACCAGCAGTAGCAGTAGGCGACCCCCCCGCTACCAACTACCTCTCCTAAACGCTGTTTGAGCGCACATCCGTTTTACTCGGTACTTACAGTACTTTC